AGTAACCGCGATATATGCAAAGTGTTTAATTCGATTTTCATACTGTTGTAATTCTACGCGTTATAATTTTATCGTGAATGTATTTGCAAGCGTAATAATTTAATTTGCATCCCGCCGTTAATTACTACACGCGTATGCTCGAGGGAAAAAGTAATGAGACGCGTTTACGGTAAGAAAATGCATATAAATAACTTTTATCAATTTTGCGAGAACAAGAGTTATTAAGTACGAGCATTAATCTCGAGACTTTATTTCGTCCGCGCGCCGCGATCTCGGTGCGCGATTTCACTCAAATCGGTCACGTGACTCCATTTTACGAGTAGATGTAGGCGTATTTAAAACAGCGGATACACGAGCCGAGGAGGAAATGCTATTAGATGGCAACAGCGCCAACCTTGCGTCGCACCAATTCGTATTTCTGTGCTTGTTTTCCGTTACTAATTAACAGAATCCCTGCAAACGTAGTTAATGCACGGTTTTACATAATTGAGAATATGTAATGTATGAGAATGTGATTTCTATCTCCCTTAACGTAGACAATTATACTTGCCTCTCTCTACCGCCTGTGCATGTATTTTGATCTTACTTCAGTTATTTAATATCTTGTTATATTTTTAAAAGCTGTCTTATTTTAACGAAAAAATAATTTTTAATTTTGTTGTAAAGCAATTTTTTCTAATATACAAAAATTAATTTTTTTCACTGTAGGTTTATGCTGAAAATATTAAATACTGTATACCTAAACGCGAGGAAAACCTATTCTAACTTTGGCCTTCATGCAAATAAACGGCAATTCTGTTTTTTACATATCGATGTCGTGTCAATTCACAAAACAGTAATAATTCGAAGGCTGTTTAATTTGCAAAGTGGTTAGTATCGTACGGCTGACTAATATATTCAGCATGTCGAACAGCGCGTTACAAAACAGCGTTACGATATCCCTTACCAGGTTGATAACATAATCTTTACACAACTCAGTTCAGGAAACTCTCGTAGGCAAGTAGATGCGTTAACCAGCGTCGTATATTTTCAATATGAATATGAATGTTCGTTAAAGTATACTCTATCTGCAAATGTTGCGGTTAAGAGATTTCCAAGATGCAGGTTAAAAGATTCTTTGTCAATCTTCGTATTCACTATCTTATATCTTAGTATCGTGCGGAATAAAAAGCTTCAACGTTTATATCTCTCGTTGCGATAAAAATAGGTTTATTTACCTTATTATTATCTCACCCAAGTATATAAATATATCGTATTCGATATGTCGCACACAATAAACATCAACGTAATTGTAAATCAATTAATTTATCTAAATTGACGATTGGTACTAGCGATGGATCCCTCGAGAGATTCTTGTCTAAAAGAGTCATTGTTTTCTACCGCGTATGGAATTATTATAGAAATATTTTCGTCGAAGATAAGAAAATTGCCGCGGAATGGAAATATTTTAAATTTGTACAATCAATTCGTGACGTTCCGCACGACGCATGTACATACATCAATCGCAGTCGCACAGAGCTAATCGCGGGAACAACGCTAAAAAGATTTAACGTGATACGTTAAACAAATTGTTATTCCGACAATACTCAATTTGATAAAGTAGCTTGATTAGAGAACTCTAATGGGTTCGGCATCATTCTCGGCAAAGCGAAACGCAATAATGACGCGTAGAAAACAACCGTGTATGTGCCGTTTCGCTCGCGGCGATTGGCGCCGAAGAGATTATCGTCGCCGTTATGTCACACGCGACTTGACAGACCGACTCCCGTTTACGAGAAACACATATTTCGTCAATGCTTTTCACTTTTTATTATTCCACCGACAGCTGCGACTTATACGACGAACGGAGCGTGCATTCGAAATCGCCGTTTCGGAGCAGGAAGCCCGGCAATTCCAACTTTGTACACGATTATCTCGCATTTGCGATCTACAAGTTACGGTAATCAAGCATTTAACGGCAATTCAATGTGTAATTCTTCGCGAATGATCGTTCGTGCATAAAACTGCAGACTTTCGATAGCCTGAAAAAAAACTATATAGATTTGTGTTGCAGATACAATTCATTTGTCTTCATGGCAACAGATTTCAATGAATAATTTTGCAGAATTGACGTTTCACATATGTTTCGTGTTTCTTCCTTGAGACTCTATTTGAAAGAAATTGAATAACAAGCTTAATTAATTGATTAGCGCACAGTACAAATTTGTTATTGATAATATAACATCAAGTTTGAACCCCTTCAAAATAATATTATGAAAATGTAATTTTGAAGAGATCGTACGGAAGCTCCAGAAATGCGGGCGAACATTTCTGCGAAATTAGAAAAGAGATCTACGAGTATTGTAGAAAGGAAATTTAGAAAGCTGACGTCGTTGAATTCAATATATTGTCTGATTTATAATGTCTAATCACGAGTTCTACCGCTAAATTATAATTATTGCTAACGAGAAGCGCTCGGTTTGTTTGTGTTTCCGAGCTGGGTTTCCAGGGCATTTCACTTTCCTTGCACGCCACATGATCTAGAAATCGCGCGTAAATGTGTACAAGCAGACAGTCCAGCGGACTGTCTACTTTAGCATAACGGGTAGGACTTTATTGCCTCCGATGATTGTCCGCCAATCAAGTCCCATATAATCGCATGACGTATACGACCGGCAATCGTTAGCTCGGCTTTTGCCTTCGATACTCCACGCACGCACTGTCGATCGTGGAATTTAAACCTGAAGAAAAAACTATAATACTGTTTACAACATTTTGCCCTCGACTTAATCAGTTATCCCGGCACACGAGTCTCGAAATTCTTGGCAAAAAAATTGCCCCTGGGAGAAAACGAAATATTACGAGTATTCAAATTACGAGGTTTGTAAATTATTTCTACGATCTTATTATGGTAGTATCTTTCAAGGTTTTCTAATAATAAATCGCGTCTTTGATCGTGCACGAAAGAGACGCTTGTATAATTCATTGTATAACGTATATTATACCATTCTTTTATTCAACATATAACCGTAGCATGTAAGAAGTCACTTTCTGAAAACTAATTAATAATATAAATTTAATTGCTCGTGCTACTTCAGTATTTTGCTATGGATTTCGTGAGTATTGAATATAATTATACGATGCGTCACAATTCCTAATTAAAAAAATATTCAAATCTTGAAAAACATTCAAATTTTTTTACATATTCTAAAATTTTAAATACATAAAATATTAAGATCTGTTCTTATCGTAATATTTTTATAATTTGTACGTATAAATGTTAAAACTGAATTAGTTGTAGTTTTATTATAATTGCACATTTATGAACATACGTCTGAAATTATGAATAGATTAAAGTGTAGATATACATATGTGTGTGTATTACAAGGAGTACAGTAAAATTAAATTATTCTGATTAAAAGTCTATACGTTCGTAAGCTGTTCAATGCAACATTGTAGCGACATCTGAGGTATTGAAAGTCCAGCAATGTCTACTTCGTGAAGGCATTGCCGTCAAGTTTCCAACAGCTGGTTTTCATTGGGGATATCGTTTTAGCCGATGAAGGTAACATTTAAATAAATCATATTTATACTTGTATTAATTATTTTCAATATTTTTTTAATTAACTAAAATTATGCTCAAAAATGAAACTATATATTTATTAATTATAACATGTTACGATAATAAAAAGCCAACTTTATACGAGTTTTTTTTAACAGTTACTTTAGAAAACTATTTTCAATAAAGGAGAGTACAACTTTTTTTAGTGGATTTTATTACCGTTCGGGGAGTGTTTTATTTTTATGTTTTCTTATGTATTTTTCTTCATGGAAACCGAAAAATATTATAATAACGCCAGACTTAAGGAAAAATTGGTTGAAATAAAATGAATAAAATTCCTACTCGCCTCGTTATGAAATCGCTCTATCAGTTATACTTTAATAATTATAATTTCAAAATTAATTCAAAAACGGAACAAATGCGAGTAATATTGTATCGCAAAACGTTAATTAGGTTTGTCACTATAACATTTGTTACAAAATATTTAATAATGTTGTAAGAGACGTGAAAACTTGGAGCTACGATAATACATCAATTATTGCTATCCAATTAATTCTCTTTACGAATAATTGTGTGTATTTCTAGATTCGATTTATATCAAATATAATATATTAATAATTAACAGCAAAAAAATGATAATTATACGACGAGATGCCCTCCTTTTTATTATTCGGACTTGGAACCGACAGTGGTGAAATTACATCTCCTATTTACATATTTACATATATATACAAATTTACATTTGTACATGATTACATAATTATAGTTACCCATGCGCACAAGCACATATATATATATATAGAATTGCACTCATTTTTGCTTTCAAAATCACTATCTCCAATTTAATAGAAACCTTTTTCCAGCAGGAATACCGATTGGAGATAGTGACTTCGCGGACGAAAATGAATAAAAAAATATATATGCTTATGCACAAGTATAAATATGTATGTATATATGTATATGTAAATATGTAAGTAGGAGATGTCACTTCACCACTGTCAGTCCCAAGTCCGAATAATAAGAAAGAGGGCATCTCGTCATATAATTATCATTTTTTTTGCTGTTAATTATTATATAATATATTATATTTTATATAAATCGAATCTAGAAATACACAAAATGATTCGTAAAGAGGATTAATTGGATAGGAATAATTGATGTAATACCGTAACTTCAAGCTTTCACGTCTCTTATAATATTATTAAATATTTTGTAACAAATGTTATAGTGGCAAATCTAAGTAACGTTTTTGCGATACAATATTACAATATTTTTATTCATTCAAAATGAATCGAGATATTTGTAGCATCGATAGCTCTTACGTCTTTCTTGCTTTACGCGATTCGAGTCGTTAGGTTCGACTCATCGCGCCACGAAGGCATCGATCGCGCGAGATGTTCTAAACATACGTGTACTATCTTATCAGAAAACATTGCGCGCCACGTCGGTTATAAATGCAAGGTCATTTTTTCCACACGAATCATTCAGTTCCAAGTCGCTCTGTCGAACGTGTTCACTGAAAGCATGGCGCTCCTCGCGAGAATCGCTAAGTGTGAGGTACGAAAATATGTGTCGCCGTTGCGCTCGGTACGCTGACTGTCCCATGATATTCTCGTGATCTTCAAAAATTCGTCGCGTTGCACACGCAGCTGCAAGCTGCATTTGAACGTTATTCATGCAAATCGGACCATCTAGTGGATATTCGACGAACTGCGAAAGCTCTAGCGCGAAAATCGATCTGCATGTTTCGTGCTCCGACCATATTTTTTTGCACAGTGCAAATCTCTGTAAATCTCTAAACTACTTTTATATTCGCACCTGCGAATACTGTGTGCTTCCGATTAACATAAATGTTTGGAGGAATTGTGAAGTGATATTTGTCCTTTATTACCCTCTACTTTGCCCCGTTATGTTAACAATTATTATTGTGTGCTTCTTAATAATTTAAGTAATGCTTTTATACTTTGTGCAAAGCTTTTCATTATTAATCAATAAAGTCCGAAGAAAGACATAAAGTAGGCTGTTGGTTTACTTTTTAAGAATTTATATCGCCGAGGAATACCTTGGCCTCCATTACGTTTGCGATCATTGAATAAGAAATTAATTAATCTGTATACCAAATGCTAATTTATTAATGATATGTCACCAACAGCGTCACAACAGGTTGATGCATGCTCGTGCTACGAGAAGAGAATTTTTCCTTAAAATGTATCCAGAAAATCATGTAATCGCTGGACAACATGGCATTTCGAAGAATTTTATAAGTTTTTTGGAGTTTTACCACACATTCTACCAGTAAAAATGTTGTTTGAAATGCTATTTTGTCCCACGATTACACGTATGATTTTTCGGGATAGATTTGAAGAGAAAATTCTCTCCGTGTATAATTTTCGAAAGTTAATCTCTGACGAAATAAAAATTACTATAGATATATTAAATCTACTTATAAAACAATACACATTATATAATGGAATTTAATTAATTTGTACATGTATGCGTTTTATTAAATGTTCTGTTCTGTAAAACAAAAGCTTCGTGTGTGATATAACCAAAATTCCTGCAAACGTTATGTCTGGAATCAACGAGTACGCTTATCAATTTATGACCATACGTAACATCTGACGATCCGATAACCTAGAAAAACATGTTTAAATATAGAATATTGATGAGCATGAAATATATTTGTGCATTTTTAAACTATGTCATTTTAGAAGCAATCCTTTAGTGCAATATGGAGACAAGCACTTTAAAGAAGTTCCGATTCATTCGAGATTTTGATAATTATAATTTTCTTTGTTTTCGAAAAGCTACATATTGTGGGAAACCGTTTGACAATTATACGTATTTATCTATTATTTGCATGACTCACTATTTCACTTAATCATCTTGTTTATAGGCGATGTATTCTTATCGTGACGACCTTCTAGAATTTTCGTATAGGCCAACAAGTCGCAATGTAACGGCGAAAAACAACGGATAGATATACCGTATGTCAGTTGTCCGGACGGACACTCGTGACAAGTACGAATCGCGGACCGTCGGGCCTTAACTTCATAAATCCTGACCATCGACTAATTAACTATGGAAGAAATTTATTTAACTACCATCAAATCCCCGAGAAAAACCTGTACAATATATCCTATCACATTTATTTTAGATATGTTACGTCTTATATTTAAAATCTGAATAAAATAACTCATTTGTTCTTTTCAATTATCTTGTTGAATTAAAATATAAAATATATTGTTAGAGTTGGTTTAAAGATGTAAAATCCCTTTATGCTATCTCTAAGTTGTTTTGAGTGCATCGGTGCGTCAATAAAATTTACGAAGTGACAATCGTCACCAATTGATCCTCAGACTATGACGTTTGTAAGGGGAAAAACACCATTGCTGACTTCTGTCGTAATAGAGCATCTTAACTTCGTGTATGAAGCCCAATCTACCACGTGTTTCTAGGTTAAAAATCTCGGATCGCCACGTGTTACGTACATTGAGAAAAATATCCGATTAAATAATCGGATAATTCAATTGCATAGTAACAAATGTATATATCCGATTAAATTGTATATCCGATAAAGAATATGATTGATTTTTCGATCAAGTTTCATCGGAAGCTGCATTTTATCGAGTAAATTTCTTCGAATATACTTATCCATAATTTAATTGGAAAACTTAGGGCAGGTTGTTCCCACCTCTTGGTAAGTTAACCAATAGTCAAATCATGTGTATATCTTTGTTTTTCCCTTAAATAGGAAAAAGATAGACATGTAATTTAGCTGTTAGTTAGCTTACCCAGAGGTTGGAAAAACCGGCCCTTAATCGGAAACACTATTTAATCGGTTTATCCAATTTTCCTCGGTGTATGGTCGTAAGCGTACTCGCTGCTTCAGATAACATTTGCGGGAACTTACATAAAATCGCAGAAAGGAACATTTTCCAAGCTCCCACGCGTTTATAAATAAAATAAAGGATTACTTTATTAAAATGAAATAATAAATGTTTATTTAATAGACCGATACTAATATTTTACGTTAACTCTTAAAATACCCACATATTTCACATGCATATTAGCTTTCAAAGTATAATATACATTATTCAATAAAATAATTCATTAATTATATATACGATTCAACGCACGGCAATTCGTTTAAATTGCATTTGATTAAAACAGTATTATTCGCTATTAATATCTCTAAATTAATTTCTAACAATACATATCGCTGTATACATTAGTGCATATGGAAAAATAATTTGAACAAAAGTACGGGTTGTGATATCTTTTTGTACAAATTAGCATAAAAATATTCCAGACACGCTTTACCAGATCCTATAGCAATGCTGCCCCGACGGTTAAAATGTACATCGACGGGCACTTCACAGGTAATTGTTTTAAAGATTTAAAATCTGTGTACTCCTATCAAGTTATTACTTTTTATTTGCATTTCTCTTAACTTATTCCGTAAGAAATTTTTCCGCCTGGAATATGTTTACTTTTATGTAAAATATTTTTAATTTATTTAGTAATGTCATACGATTTTCCACACGTTTTTCGGTACAAAAAGTAATGACATTTTTCCTTCAAACATGACAGACATACAAGAGAATATTCATCCTATGAAACAATGTAGAATCAGTTGAAGGTGATACTTAGATATATTTTCAAGCAAAGTGCACTTTATGTTATTACAGTATGATGTTCACGATTATTCTTGCAACAACATCCATCTATAAATTGCATAGATATTTATACAAATAAGTTATTAAGAGAATTTTTCATTAAGAAGTCTAAATTGTCAATAACTTTACGTTAATTAGATACTAATACGGCATTTATTAATTATAAAGTGCATAATTAACTACACATTAATCTATCATACACTTTAAATCGTTTCTACGATACAATTTACACAAAAGTCACGTCAATCGAAACTCGAAATAATTCGAAACTCTCTTTCCAGAATCAAAAGCTACAGAGTTCATTGATGTCCACAATCCGGCGACAAATCAAGTGCTGTGCCGCGTTCCAAAATGCACGAGGGACGAGATGGAGAGTGCGGTGCAGAGCGCTCAGAAGGCATACGAGAAGTGGCGGTATACAAGTGTCCTAACGAGACAAAATTTGATGCTAAAATATCAGGCTCTCGTGCGCGAACACTCGGTCAGTTTATCAATTCTAAATCCTAAACTAAAGCTTTATGTATTTTACTAATTAATTAATATCACGTGCGACGGGTAGAGAGAACGAAAGATAGGCGATAGCACAACGTAAATTGTAAGTAAAGATGATTAACAAGCGTGGCGAAGTTAAAAAGCTCGGTGGCGCGGCGTCAGTAGTAATGGTCGGTAGTGGACAGACATGAACCGCTGCGCGAACCTTTGCTACTAGACAATTGCAATTAGCGCTGGGGACATCGTAGCAAATATTTCGCGCTACAGTTTCATTAGATCCCCATTTCTTATTCGTTTTTATTTTATCTTATCTGTATTATTTATCTCTGTTCGCAGAAAGATATTATAGAGTGTATTGTGAAAGAAAATGGAAAGACTACGGCTGACGCGGAGGGAGATGTGCTTCGAGGTCTACGTAAGTATATTGAACTGCTACGCAGATTATAAATCGGACAGTGCTCCAATTTATTACTTAACTGTTAGCTTTTAATTGTCGATTTTAATTTTCGAAATTCTCGATTTAATCGAAGTTGCCGTATAAAAATTAAAGGGTGTTAAATAAATATGAAAGAAATTATCCCGACATGCGACATGTTAATTTGATTTCAAAGAACAGAGTGGCTCGAAATTATGCAAAATGTAATGATAATATTAAAAATTGTAATCACGATTAATATGCCGCGTGGATATCGGCTGATTCTTAATTATGCGATTGCAGAGGTCGTCGATTCGTGCGCGGCGATCCCGTTGATGCAAATGGGCGAATCCATGACCAACATCGCCACGGACATGGACATCGTCTCGTATAAAGTACCCCTCGGTATTACCGCGTCCATTTGCCCCTTCAACTTTCCCGCTATGATACCGCTTTGGTCGTTTCCGCTATCGGTCGCATGCGGGAACGCCGTTATCCTGAAGCCGTCGGAACGGGTACCAGGTGCGGCCATGATACTCGTTGATCTCTTCACGAAAGCCGGTGCACCAGCTGGCCTTGTAAATGTGATACACGGCCACCGTGCAACAGTAGACTTCATCTGCGAACATCCTCGCATCAAGGCTATCTCGTTCATCGGTTCTGATCAGGCGGTAAGCGTGGGGTGAAAAACGAGATCAGAAATTGCATTTTGGGCCAACTAAATTTTGTTTCATTCAATAAAATGGGTCTCTCAGTGTAGTTAAAATATGTTTTTGTGTAAACTTTGTGATAAAACGTTCCTAGTTAGCAGTTTCGAAACAAGCTACAACGAGGCAACGCGACAATACGAATAATAATAATCAATGAATTCTTCGATTTTCAGGGCAAGTATATTTACAAGCAGGGCAACGCGCATGGCAAAAGGGTACAGTGCAATTTGGGCGCTAAAAATCATTGCGTCATTCTGCCAGACGCAAATAAGAACAAAACGTTGTCGCAAATCGCCGGGGCGGCTTTCGGCGCCTCCGGGCAGCGATGCATGGCGCTCTCGGTGGCTATTTTCGTAGGCAAAGCCAAGGAATGGGTACCCGAGCTAGTAGAAGCGGCGAAGAGGTTGAAGGTAAACGCCGGTCACGTGCCCGGCACCGATGTAGGACCTGTTATATCGCCGCAGTCGAAGCAGAGGATCAAAGAGCTGATCGACTCCGGTGTTAAAGAAGGCGCGCATTTAGCCCTTGACGGGAGAGAGCTCGTTGTGCCCGGCTACGAAAGCGGGAATTTTATTGGACCCTCAGTGTTAACTAACGTCAAGGTAAGATGCGTCAGATCTTGATTCAGAATTGATTCAGAAATTAATCAAGCCTAAACGTTAAAACATGAATTAAGAGATAAACTGGGGATTTTCTGTCAAGAGAAAAACCTAAATAAAATCGAAAACTAAATTATTCCCCACGGAGAGTTCCATCTACACAAACCTTTTTACTCAAGATTTTTCATAACTTCTAGAATCTGTGCGGTGTTTTCATTAATTTTATATATTCTAATTTAATGCTGGCAATCCCACTTCGTTTATATCACAGGCTGCTTGATATGATTGCAGCCTACAATGAAGTGTTACACGGAAGAAATATTCGGGCCCGTTTTAACGTGCATGTTCGTTGACACTACCGACGAAGCCATCGACATCATCAATAAAAGCACTTACGGCAATGGCACGGCACTTTTCACGACAAACGGAGCGTCAGCCAGGGCATTCATAAACAGAATCGACGTCGGCCAAGTTGGCATTAATGTACCCATACCTGTCCCTGTACCGATGTTCAGTTTCACCGGTAACAAGGGTTCTTTCCTCGGGGACATAAACTTTTACGGGAAACACGTGAGTAACTTTGCGTGACTTTATTTTGATGAATCAGTCTATTTATCAAAATCATTCATACGTGTGAGCTTCCAAAATAATTTCCTAATTATAATTAGTTACTGAAGTTAATTTAAATGTTAATTTAATTTTTTAAAAACAGTAAAATTAGCTAAAGCGAAATAAACACACAAGGTGTGTTACGTCAAACCGTTAAATTCTATAATACATTCTAGAGCAAACAAGTTCATGTATTGCGTCAATTCGAGTTATCGAGATATGAAAAATTTAATTCTCGTCACCGTGTCTTGTTTTTACAAAATTGGAATTGTTCTCTTTGATAAACAATTATCCCCGCACATATTATTTGGAGCGCGATAGTAAATAATAAGTGGAGTTCGAGCTATCGAGTTATCGAGATACGAAGAATTTAATTCTTGTCATCGTGTCTTGCTTTTACAAAATTGAAATTGTTCTTTTTGATAAACAATTGTTCCCGCACATGTTATTTGTAGCACGATATTAAATAATAAGTAGAATTCGCGTGAACAAATGATAGATACATAATATAACAATAACTTGGTGACGCGCGCTTTTATTAACCTTCTTTCAGGGGGTGAATTTCCACATGCAAATTAAGACCATAACACAGTTGTGGAGATCCAGTGACGCTACCGACATCGCGTCGTCGACGTCGATGCCTATTATGGAGTGAAGCTACAATTACATGTGATTTTACGACACACGAAAGGTTGCCTGAGCTTCGCTACGTTCTTCGTGCGTAAGAACGTATACAACTTAATTCTGCGATTTAAAACTGCGATCGCGCAGTTTCAAACAATGTCTTCCATTGTTGCGTACAAATCTGTAAATGTTGAGCATATTTTTATAACCTAGATAGACTACATCTATTTTTTTTATACAACAATAAAGTGTAGTCCAAACGTCGATTCTACATTTATGCCCTAAAAAATACAAGTTTGATTGCTACAGAAGGCTATATATAATACAAAATTAAATAAAGAATTCATACTGCTACACACCTGCATTACATATTTTAATTATTATCGAAGAGAGGTGTCTCGCGAGTAAAATTCATTCCTTTCGATGTCGCTACTAAAGTTATCGAAAGCACTAATTTACGCGCAACCGTCGAGAAATTCATTTGCCAATGCTATTAAGTGAACATTTAATACAAATGCAGCGAGCCATAATAAATTCCGAATTTTCGACCGAAATCTCTTCATCGGGCCTTTTGCCGTGCGCGCTGCTCTGCTTGTAAATATACAAGGGAAAAAAATTATGCTGTATCAACAAGATCAGTGTAATTGAAATAAAATCGTTGAAACAGCATCAGTATTAAAACATAAAAACATCAGACTGTTGTCTTAATAATCTAAATATTTAGTTGAATGCTTAAAATTAAAATCCATAGCAAATACAATTGAGTGAATTCTTTATGTTTGTGGCAGCCCGTGACGTTAACGTTTAATTCAAGCCACTTCATTTTGCTTAATACAACAGCATTTTTTTTCCGTGTACCTACTCTGAAAATCGAAGAATTCATTGATTATTATTATTCATATTATCATGTTGCCTCGTTGTAGCTTATTTTGGGACTACCAGCTAGGAACGTTTGTATCACAAAGTTTACGGAAAAAAATCTATTGTCGATTCTATTCGACTGGCACAATTCAACGTAACAGCAAACGCGTAACGTTTTTCCTATCGATCAGCCCTCGCTTATAGTAACAACCGCGCGTGGGCGGCGCCAGGCGAAAATACGCCTAAAATTCGATGGCATAAGCACCGAAAGAAGTTCACGGTCAACACCTTCTGATTCGTCCTTGAACCCCCTGGCCCCACGAACCCGCGCGCGGACATCCGTCTCTCGGCGATATTCGAACTAACTTCCGGCAGTCAGGAGCGATGTACGCGCCGACGCGCGCACCCCGTCGTCGCCGTCGGGCCGCATCTGCGCATTTTCCAGCTGAGTTTCCCTCACAGGCGAGGTTCTGCCTGTCCCGGATTGTCGTGTATTCGCCGACACACCAGGCCGGCAGGGAAATCAAAGGAAAGCCCTCGACTACCGTTCACATATCGTGAGTATATCGATACGTTTGTGCTCGCGAGCCCAGCGTGGCTTTCCGTCCTCCCCCGTCTACGTTTCCTTCCCGAGGTTCAGCTTTATTCGACAGACACATCGAGAATAATTTATCTGTCTTCCGAGAGAGGCTATTGATGCTTTATCGAATTTGCCCACGGTTAAACATTCGGCATGCAGCAACGCTTGGAGCTGTTAATCGCTTGAGAATGTTGAGCGTTGGCCGTGGGTCTCCTTCGTTCGCCAGGGCTCAATAACTCTTGGGTGATTTTTTTAAACAAGCCACCGTCGGTGTCGGCACCGGTTAAGTGGAGTGTAATTGACCGTTTTGGCTCTAATTTCCGGCATGTCGTGTTTATTCGCCAGGCGTACACTTCATCGTGGCGTGTACTTCACCGTGGCGTGTACTTCATCGTAGCTTCGATGTCATGACTACGAGTACGCTTGTTTTTATCATTAATTATACTAAGGGGTAGAATTTACGTATGCGAGGTGGCATGGAATCTCCATTTAGGAATAATATTTTGTTTCATATTTATCTCGTTATAAATTATTATTTATATATTATCACCTTTATATTATTTTCCTTAATATTAAACAATCGACAATCTTTGTGTAAAATAATTATTTTATAAATATCTGCAAAAGAGAAGTGCTCAATCGAATGGGTGAAGGGGAGAGCGATTCATATTGGATTACAGATTTATTTTTGATCATGAATGTCGAGCGTTCGTTAAATCGAAGTTAAACGCAAATATTTCAGTTTTCACTACTGGGTCTTCGCATCTTCGAACTTGTTGATATGCTTTGAACAATGCAGCTTTTAAATGTCAGGTGCTTTCGTGTGAACTGATTCACATACTTTCCACTTTGTCCACGCTTTAATTAAACATTGTTTTGTGATTGAGTTCATAAGCAATCTACTTTATTGCGAATTGAAGCGAAACCTTTGACAGCAGGCGCTGTGGGAATGGCCATATTAATTCTTTTGTAATAAAATTATTTAATTGTCTCTAGACACAGAGAAATAGTTCTATTTCTAATACTATTCGATTTATTCCATTCGCGTTAACTGTACATTTTTGTCACGCCAAAAACTGGCGGTTCTTGAAAAAGTTCCAAGAGATATTTCTGACAATTTTGTACATTTAATTAAATAATGTTTAATTAAAGTACAAAGCGTGGACGAAATGGAAAGTATTTGAATCAGCTCACGCAAAAACTGCTTGACATTAAAAGCTGCATTGTTCAAAGCATATCAACAATAAAATTCTGATAAAGCAATCCAACAAAGGAAACGTCTGCAAATGCATCATTTCTCTGTCAAATCGTCATCCCCCCCCCTCTCTCTCTCTCTCTAAAAACCTTTCTTTTTATGAAATACATGTTTAATGCAATAGTTAGTTGCGCAAGAAAATATCCACGTAGAAAATTATCGCTCTGACGTGGAACCTGTTAATTAAAGTTTTTAATATATTCATGAACTCTTTACTGTTTTGAGAAAGTTGTAAACACAATGCTGACTGAGTCTTGTTATTTTGCAAACAGTCTTATGGTGAAGAATATCATCTAATCACTACTGACTTCGGTTCACGCGAACACGCCGACCATCTCGTTGCCTTTCCTTCGCTTTACGCAACGAGACTTTTTCTGACAGTTTAAATAATTACGCATGAAATGAAAACGCAAGGAGACGGGGTGCTAGATAGCTCAGTATTAGAGCACTCCGCTTCGATTGTCGAATAAAAGGGTTCTATTCCTGGACCTGTCATCGCGTATATAGGACGCTAAGAATTTTGATTCGGAAAATATTCCATTCTGATACAAACAAACCCTGCAAGATACATATGTATTTTCGTGGGAAAAACTTATAAAGCTGAAAACTTTGTTCCTGCTTATGCATCTTCTTCTTTCTTTACCAATTTCTTCTTTATGTTTATAAAAGTCTCCGTTTGTACAAAATATTGTGTCGAAAATTGGTATTCGGTATTGTAGTGTTATTTAGACGTTTTAATGCATTTGATCTATTTATGTAATTATAAAACTTACGTTACAATTATAAAGGAAACTTTAGCCCATCCGGGGTTATAATGCCATTCGATAAGCACTTCTTTATGCGATGAATGTTAAAATTACATTGATTCTAAAATAGATCGTGCGTCTGAATGAGCACAAGATAGTCATGCAATATCAGTGCAAACAGATCAGAGAGTTGCCATGTAAAAAAAAAACAGATATGATACAATAACTTAATTATACTGTGTCACCGAGTGTTATTACATTGAATTTTATACCTTGTAAAAACAAGTCGACAATTTACGGTGCACGACGATATGTGAATAATTTATTGCAGAAATACAGAACGGTGTACACGAACAAAATTATTGTTACTTATTTTATAGCAAAATTGATTTCGTATAAATATTATGCGATCCTACCATTTATTTTATCAACTGTAGCTTAAAAGCCTATTAAATCAATTTCCCTGAAAAAACTGTACCGTTCAAACACCCTTTAATTTTGCAGCAAAACTTTCCATACAAAATTTACATGTAATTTCCGTTTTGTTCTCTCTCTCTCTCTCTCTCTCTCTCTCTCTCTCTCTCTCTCTCTCTCTCTCTCTCTCTCTCTCTCTCTCTTGTTTCTGAATAAAAACATTCCGATTGCAGTGCAGAATCCCTTGCTGAATAGTCGCGCCCTTTGAAAATAAATACGAGTGGCCGTTCGGCTGACAGAACCATATATTTGCGGTCGGCTGAGGGATCGCCGCCGTGTATCTCTAACAAGATCTCTATTCCGACAGGTTGAATAATTATGTACAAAACGGTGCGGAAAGGCGATGCCAGTCTACAGTATACGATACTACCACAGACGGATCAGTTCTCGTCCGGCGGATTCCCGCAGGCTTCCGGCAAGCCTCGGCCGAGGATCATCAAGTACACGATGGCCACCATAATGGTGCTGATCATACTGTCCTGCGTGGCCACGCCGTTCCTGATGAATCAAAACGATCACAATCTCTTCGCCAGCACGATGCGAGCGATTGGCCGAGCAGAGCCGGCCAGGAACACATCGAGGAGCCAAACGAAGAACATCAGTGAGGGTAAGAACAGAGGCAGGATTTCGGCTACGACGACATCGACGACCGAGGTTACAAGGAGGAAAGACCTCGAAGATGGCACGACCTCCTTCAATGTAATTCTCCGGGGTGAGGAAGAGGAGGAGGAGGCTATGGTTGATGACGCCACGTTAGCAGGTATTATCTTTCAATTTTCGAGGAAGAAGACGCAGATAATTGTGTGTTGCACAGAAATAATGAGAGCTACCGGTATTTCCGTTTGCAAGTTATAAGAGAAAAGTCGCGATATGTAATATTCATGTTATTTTTTTATTAAAGAATACGTCCTACTTTTATAAAATGAAGTCTTTACTCTGGACTTTGTTATGAGTTATGATACTTCGAGTAATGTTATATTGCAGAATAATATTTTCTCCTCTTTGTCCAAAAATTCTCTCTGTCCCTGGGTTGCTTAAATTAGGATGAGCATTATGAGATCGAGCACGAAATTTAATTTCCTCTTGCAGAATACCTCGGAGTACCGCGATAAAACACAGAAATGACGGGCGTAAAATAAGATTTCAGCTTTACATAAATATTGGAGCCGTGATATAATTGGTTTGGGACGCTCTGCCATCAGTTTTCCAACTAAGCTGGCGTTATTGTCGACTGTGTATGTAAGTACAGGCAATTCTCTCTTTCCAGACACGCCGGAATTTAGTACACAAGTGATTTCGAGCATGGAAACGTCAACGAGGGACCGCCAGGTGATAACCACTTCCGTTCTACCGTCGACAACCATTATCTCGGCGTCGTCGGCGACAACGAAGGCATCCACGGGCGGCACGACGGAGGACACGAAAACGTTGAGCACGCCGAAGAAGCCGAAGATGCCGAGGGTGACCCTGAAGCTGCGGGAGAACGAGACCATACCGCAGATGTACGTGAAGGCGGGGATAGCCTCCTACAAGAAGGGCAACATCACCACCAGCGTGCTCGCGCCTCGCCTGAGTCTCGAGGGCTTGATATTCAAAACGCCGGAAGGCACGATAAAACCCTGGCCCCAGAAGTGGTTCTTCGGCGAGCCCTCCGATTCCGATGTCAAGACGTGGAAAGTGTTTGTAAGTGCTCGTATTTCTCGATCGGGCGCCCGTACGTTCCCGGGGAATTGCGTTCAAGGGGACCTCGAGTGGCCTGCATTTTGATAGAGTGCATCGATCACGCGAATCGCCTATGCAAAAATTGCCATCTCGTCGTTTCCTCGCGCGCCTTGCTCTTTCCTTATTCCGGAATTATCTTTTAAAATGTGGTCTTACGCACAAGCCCTTCTTCTCGCACGTTGGTTCTGCAGCTTTCGCTTGTTTTCCTTACATTCATTTCATCGTATTTAGATGAGACCCTTTGAATGTTGCTAATTCGACGCTTCTCTCTGCTTTATATTTATATGACAAGTGTAATCATATACAACTCTTACCTAGCTCCTATTTTACGTAAAAATACTTTGAAAGTGGAAAGAAGACAGACAAAGAAATTTCACGTTACTCTTTAAACGAGTATCCCAAGATTTTTAATTTAATCTTTCAAAGATTTCTATATTTTCCATTTAAAAATATATATATTAATTTTAGGTCTATCAGTCGCTCTATAAACCCATTTCAACAAAATTGTACAGGGTATTTTTATATCCCCAACTTAATCCGTAAAATATATTTTCGCATACATATTTTTCGAACTTAGCCATCCGACCGTCAATTTGAAATTTTGCGTCCTGCATAAATATTGATCGCGTTGCACCAAAGATATCTAAAACTGAAGCACTCTGTCCGATCGATAAGCAGAGCATGTTCGTGAATCTAAAAGCGGACGAGGAATTGCTCGGAGCCTTTATTTTTCCCACATGCTTCCCATCGGGACAGCAGTCGTACTTTTACTTCCTTCTTAAAGAATTGCAGGACGTGACGTTATGTATAACGTTTTTCTGCGAAATGTTTCACGCGTGACATCGTATCCTATTATATATTTTCATATAAATCTATAAGACTTATATTTCTCTCCTATTGCTTTCATTTTTTTTTAAATCTTTCGCGACAAGAAGATTTTTGCGTAAAATTGCAGAAGAGGAAAAAGTTGCTTTCTTGAAACATCGACCTCGCTGGCCAATCAATATAAAAGCCGCGTGTTCTCCCTTGAGCCGATAATGCTTACTCGTTGCCCGAAACTGCTTGCGCTGCACTTAAAGATTTTGCACAGACTACACGAACGTCATTAGGAAAAAGCAGTCGCGCAAAATACGTTATGTGCTTCATGAAAGGGTCGGAATCGCAGTTTTCAAACAAAATTCATTCGTAGTAATTTTTTCGCAAAAAAAAAGAGCGAAGTTTCCATTGTTGCCAAGAAAACACATTTCACAACAAATGAAAATTCATCCAATAAAAAGGTTAGTTTTTCCTGGTTAATTTCTTGTTAAAAAGTCAACGACAAGGAAAATCGTTTACCCGACATTTTTGCCGAAATATCTTCACCAAATATTTTCACGTGTTCAACAGCTTTTGCATGTTGCAGGCTTTTGCTTTTTCGTGTCGTTATAAATTTAAGCTGAACTTATCGAGCTAACAGCTGCTCGCCAAGCAAAACCCTTTTGCTTTATCCAATTTTCATAAATTGTGTACAATGTATAGTAAAATGCGCTCTATTTTACAACGCGTCCCGCGCAGAATACCTTTTACGAACGGAGTGCTTAATTTACCGTGGAATTGAAAATACCAGCGTCAGGATACACAGGGGATTAATAGGATCTTGAGTACCTACTAATTCATATATTTACCGGCACTTGACTTGGTAGTTATATCAGATGCACCGGCGTCTACCAGTTTGAGTTTTGCATATTAAGCGGTAACTGGGGTAACAGAGAGTAGCAACATTTTCAGATGAATATTCATTTTTCGGTGGATAAGGAACGGTGTGGATTATATCGCGGTGTTATACGGGCGCAATATTGATGAAAATCATTCGCAAAAGTCGAGAGAGAGCTCTTCTTGAAAAATGCAGTAAAAAAGACAGTGGATACATGATACAATAGTTTACAATAGCTTGGCGAAATAAAAAGCATTTTGTTCTCGAAACAGGTACAATTCATTTTATTTTACAGAGTTATTTCCGCGCGCAGCCACGAATGTGTAACTTAGAAAAGAGATTATTTACTTTACGTATTTCCTCCGTGACTCTCAATTTAGCGAACTGATCGCGAGCATTTTTACGTCAGTTGCATAACTCGTAATTGATTACTACATGTCTCGGTCGAAATATTAAGTGAAATTCCGCGAACGACAGACGCAAATAGCTGTTCGGGTGGAGGCTCAGTGGCATTAAACGGAACACTATCGTGAATTCCGTGCATTACGGAGCGCACAAATCAGAATTTCAAACAGGTTATTGCGCCGATGGCCAACGGGAGCCGGCGAAAACGTATTATCGTGCACGCAAAGCCGTAGGCCGACGTTTGACCTAATAGCAAATTAAAGCAGCCGGTGAACAATCGATCAAAAGAATGCTTACTTATTCAACAATATTTGTCAACACCGAAATAGCCGAGATAGAGCTAAAAGAACGTAATAATTTGTATTAATAATCTTAATAAAATAAGACGCGATTTCTTTCATTATTTCACTGTAATTTGCATTTCTTAAATAAATACAATTTTCCTTAACATCATATAAACTGAATAATTTTGGTTCGTACTCTGTGCTTTTAACATGAATTGTACCCATCGATATACAACTGCCTATTAAATTGACATTGCTCGTGATATTAATTGCGTTAATTCGTCATGAAGATTAACATTTGTGCGTAGAAGGGGAAGGAATGCTTTCTATATGGGGGATATTTCATTTCAGCTGAATAAAAATATTGAATGTAATAGAACGGAAATATGAGAAAGAAATATGCATGATTTAATACTCTTTAACTTATCGCATAACAGAGACGTCGTATATTAAAGATATTGCCGTGCGAATAACGTCGGCTTCATTGAATTTACAGGCCGTGAACCACATGCCGATGATAACAGTTTATGCAATCTTTGGAGGAATGTGCGCAACGGCGTGTGGCCTAATCGCCCTGATGATTCATGTGCAGCGTGGTGCACGTAAAGCGTTCAGACGTGCAGGACAGAACGTCGAGGAACCGGATGTCGAGGAGCACGAGTCGACGCTGCTGGGCGCGGAGAGCCAAGAGACCGAGGAAAAGGAGTAATCCCGGCGACGAACAGGACGCATCCGTACATAGCGCGCGTAAGACTTGCCTATTTTTACAAACACACGTCGGTTAGACTTAGGCGTCTTCCACATCGAAGGATAGAAGGTCGAAAACGCGGGCGAGGTACGAGAAGGATTTTTTTACGACGTAGCCAGCTGTAGAGAATCGCGGTACGAATGCACGAACAACGTGATTGTCCCAGAGATAAGGATCGGCGTGAGATTCATTTTGCGAGATTGCTCACTGCGTTGCCGTTAACTAGGTTCATCTTTGTGCTGCGGTTGATTTTTTAACGAGGGCTTCTTGCGAGCTTGCGGGCAGAAACCGATCATGTTGTACCAATCGCTCTTAACGTCACGCTTTTGTTTCACCGTCGGATTTACATGCTCGTTGATAAATTAGCGACGGACCATTTATACGTTTCTTGCAACTGTGGTATAGTTCGACTAGCGACGTGATTACATGATATATTATAATCCTGCGATAATCGAGCGGATCGTGAAAAAGTTGCGCAAATAAAGTTTCGTTGTTACTACTTTAAGTTTGCGATGAGGCTAGGCAGGTTTCACAAACCCGCCACGATGGGCGCACAATTGTGTATGCTGACAAACTATATAAATATATACATATATACAGAGAAAAGAATACGTATCTCGCTGGCAAGTTAAGGAGACCAAAATTTATAAGCCATTTAAAGGAAACATTAAAACGAGTTCTATAACGAATTCTCTTTTTAGAAATTCCTTTGAAAGTTCCTACTAAATTTTAAAAAATTTGATAAAAGCCACAGAAGTATTCTAAAAATATAAACGACATCTTCACAATTCTAATTAGTCCTAATTCCAATTCTGAAGAGTTCGAAGCACGTTTCTCTGCGCAAAGAGAAGTGCAAAGTTGAAAATAATTTTACATAATAGATTTCTCAAGGGATTTAGGAGAAGAAATTTTTCAATCGTAGTACGCGCAATAGCATGAGAAAGTAAATGTTAAAAATGAACGTACCGCGAAGCTTCGACGCGTCTTAGAGTCAAGACGTTACCAATAAACAATTTGTGGGCCCGAAAGAGATGTCTCCTTAATTCGGCCACTTATATTTGCTAAACTTTCTATAACGTACACGATATGCGTATATAAATACACGATATACGATTATAAAGTATTATATGTGTGTCATCGACTTTTCTAGGATCTCGAAAAAGCAAAAAAAAGTGCTTTTAACTTTCTGACGCCAGTCGAATTCTATCTGCGTACAAAAGTAGCCGTACTGCCAGCTACAATAAAGGGCCCGCTTTCCAGCCTCGTTTAATTAAAAGTGATGTTTGACGAACATGCTATCAGGTATATCGTTTAATCGATATCCACACACCGTTTACTCAGTGATATCTGTCGCACGGAGAAACGTAATATCATATTTTGCAAAATATGACTAGCAGATTGACGATATTGCGTCGGGAGTACGTCAGAAATATTGAATTAATCCGAACCTTGCGCGATTAAACTAAAAGTTTAATTACAGGCGGCTTCATCAACGTATTGTTTCGATAAAATGACATTTATGTAAAAGCATACAGAAGCAGGACGCAGAGACGTTTTATGGAACCGATATATATATATATATATATATATATATCTTCATATAAATTATACCTTTCAAAGGGGAAAGCTGAACAAATTGTGTCAAAACTGATATTGACATGGGTCACTTTATGATCGTTAACGCCCGTCGCGAGTACATCGCAAAATACTGTGTACTGGAAATACAATGTGTCTAAAATAGACGTATTAATGCCTCTAAAGTGAAACTTTAGAAACTACAACCGTTCGACTTATATATGATATTTTAGATCGCTTTTACGTGATTTTAAGACACACAACTAACTTAATACTTTTGTTAAATTAATTTTCATTCCACTGGTGTGAAAACAAGTGTATCAGTCTATACTAGTCTAGTTCGTGCTATACTGCGTAAAATTGTTAATTGTGATTCTGTACTTAAATTGCGCCATTTGATATTTGACAATAATTGCGCTTGACAAATTCTAGAATAATTAATTTTGTTTCTTTCAAAGTAAAACTGTAAATTTTTACCTACTGTCAAGCGATCTAGGACGATATGCAAAACGAGACTCAACTATACGAGCTTTAGCTAAGAACATTCCGCAAGATTGATTCTAAGAGTCAGTGTTGCTATTTTATTTTATTCGACGTAAAACGCACAAGATAAAAATTGTGACGATAGCTACTTGACAAAGAAAAATGCTTGTGCAAGCGAATCGAAAAGATCTAGTGTATATTTATTACACAATTGCGACAACAAGGTAATCTAACTTGCAAGTTATTTACTATTTGTAAGATCCGTTTTATCAGTAGCTAACCTTTACTATGTGCAACACAATTTCCACCTTTTGCAACTCCATACTTTATTTAACTTGTAGCGCCATTACTTCAAACGAGGTAGAACTTCCAATAATATGTAATTTACTTACAAATTACAATATTAAGTTACAGCTCCGTATTTTGTTGTACAACGTTCAAATAGTTTTAAACACTATTGTATACTTTTAAAAGTTTAAAATTGTTTTATCTGCAAAAGTCTGATAGTAAATCAATAAATAATTAGATTTAGAAATTGTACTATATCCAGAAATTTTTCATGCAAAATTCATACCTATTTATTTACAAAAATAATCAGCATCGCAACATACGAAGCCCGCGGCTAAAAATCTAGGTTGTCTTATTATTTATAAATTGAAAAAACATTTAAATGAGAAATGGATGCTGCAAAAAAAGATTGCGAGAAATTTTAATTATAGTCATATCGTTATATAAATTTTATTCTATATATTTTCAAGTCAAAGACGAAAAACTATAGCTATATAATCTTAGGCTAAGCGATCTGACGTAATTCATTTAATTTCACATATCGCGTGCACTTTGTATAATTAAAATCGAAAAAATTCACAGTATCATCACAAAACCATCTAGAGATACTCATGAGAAACGCAAGAATATTATCATATTCATTAAGTTGCACTCATGTTTTGTAATAATAAATCACTCGTTATGCTACAATTAGCGAAAGGAAATTTTATCATAATGCGTATTTAGTTTAACATCATGCTAGTTTTTAACAAAATTCTTGTCTATTATTTGTAATTAAGGAGCGACCACAATAACTTCGATCTTTGATCGATAGTGCTCGTAAATATGTCTCGATATAATAATCTCTCGATATGCAAAAACTTTTTATTTATTCGTGTAAATATCAATTGCTCATAGCAAGTGTTATATTAATGCTTGTAAATGGCTATTATTTACATTTATAAGTTACATTAATTAATATTATAATAATAATTTATGTTAGAATTGTACAACTGTGATTATCAACCTTTGGTTTCGTAGATTGTTACCACATTCCTTCTATAATATTTCATCAAGTGAAATTATTACAATTAATGCAATATCATTATTTATAATAAAATTACCATGTACTACTTTTGATTTTAAAATATCTTGAAATATGTAAAATCTATTTCTTAGTTTATTAAATAATCTTGAACGATTTCAAAATGTAATAACTTGTAAAATATTAATTGTAAATTTTTTGTACAGAATTAAATTTCAGTGATTTGAAAACGTTATTAAATTTCAGATATTTGTAAAATTAGCAGTCAATATCGAGAAATTATATTTAATTCATGTTAAGCGAACCTGCAGTAAAATAAATTACAATTATCATATTGCAAATGGATAAGAGAGCAGAGGGAACCCGGTGACCATCTGTATGGAATATTTAAAAAGTAGTTATGAATATAAAATTTAAACCGTATACTAATGAGCTATTTGTGACTTTTCGTATATTAAACTCTTCTAGTATTTATTCCAACACGACTACGAGATTCGTTGGAGGCACTTTGGGAGGCTCATAGTTTGCGAAATTATTTGTAAGGCACCTAATGGACAATTAATGAAAGAAGAAAATATACGGTAAACTCACAACAGGATAGAGACAAGAACACTTTTCTGTCACGTATTTACTTGGATGTGATAGGTCGGTTTTTAGAAAAGTTTGAGAACTCGTAAAAGAGGACTATAACGCTCAAATCAATGATTTTCTGAGACCTGCGCCGTTTCGTGAAAATTGCGTGAAACAAGTGAAAATAGAGAAGATAAGGGGAAGTCATTCTAGAATCGACCGCGCGATTTTCGAGAGACGGACGTCCCGAGGACTCCGCGTCGATAAACAACCGTATGCACTAATAGAGCGTACATACAAAAAACAAATAATGTTCGATGCGTTTTCGAAAGAAATAAGGATTTCATAAGTGACACAATAGCGCTGTAGCTGAAGAGAAAGACGGTTATAGTTTATATTTTAAAGATTATATTTTTTTAACTTTATTAATTTTTGACTTCCACGTATATATACATGTATAAATAAATATAAATATATATATATAATATAAATATGATGGAAATGTAATGGACTACTGTATATATATACACGCATATTTTAAACAAAACCGTGTAGCGCACAAAATTGAGGCACTCTAATTTGTCGATTGATTACAATCGTGACTAAAAGCTTAGACGAAACAATCGCAAAATATGAAATAATTCATAAATTAGAAAAGTAAAACATTTAAATATTTTATAGATAAAGGATTACGTTTAATTGGTGGCCATATAATCAATTAACTCAAGAAGAGACAAGTGATTTTCTAGATGCGTAAATATTTGACGAGTTTAATAGAGTTAAAACTGATTTGTAAGTCAATGGTGACGTGCGCTTTCTAGGATGTAATCCTATCAAATAATTGCACATATTCATTTGCACACAAGTTTGTTTACAAGATCGAGAACGTTGCGTTATTCTATAACGATCCATATTGGATCCGTGCTGCACGGGCTATTTGCACTAGCTTAGGTAGGCCAAAGACAATTCCGTGTATATATATATTATAAACATTGTATGTGCGTAGACTCGAAGTGTCTACTACGGATATGGCGGATAATGTAATCGTCTAATCATTATTTTACAACTAAATAAACTCAGGACTGTGAAACAATTGTCGTGGTAGCCAGTAACTGAGAATCTTATTTACTAGAAGAAATAGAAGATTGATATACGCGCGCGTTTATACACATTCCAATATATTTCTATCAATAGTTATCAAGCAAAATGTGATTTTCTGCGACGTGGATAATCATCGATCCACTCAAGCCTCACATATGTGCTAACTCTCTGCCATAATCCTATTGGACGCCTCGATCCTACACGTATGTCCCGACAATCACGATGCGGCTTACCGATCGTGGTCCGTTTATTATTGAGAATTGAATTGTTAATTGAAGTTGGAAATGGACTAGCTCACGCCTAATTTAGGGCCTATAAATGTATACAAACAAATAAAACATTGAGAAAGAATTCCACAGTGTCCATGTTGAAACGCGGCGATTTGTTGTTAAAAGAGCACAATTTACCCAAAAAATGGTGTAACTATTTGACAATCTTGTTTGTAAAGTACTGTGCTCAATGATTCTAAAGTATACTCAATTAAAATCTACACCACTCCAATCCAAAGAACCGGATGCTAATATATTATAAAATTAAACGGAATAATTACTCGAAAAAAAATGAAACGTCTCAACGATCTTTTGAACATTAATTGCATTTGCCTGTTTTTGTATTTTCCCTCAATCAAGCTATAGCAGAGTCTGAAGTATCTTCTGGCGATACTTTCTACTTAAAATTTTCCTTCCCTCTTCCCCAGATCGTGCACTACGGATTTATTTGTATTTCATAAGCGAAGGAAAAAAAACAGACGAAAAAGGAAAATACCTAACGTTAATTGATAAGTAAAAAGACAATCAGATAAGCGCTTGGCGGACAGTTTCACCAGGAGATGGCAGCAGCACACTCAACCGTTGAGTCAAAGAGATATTCTGACACTGCGCAAAGCGCAGGTTCGACTGTAAATCGCCTCTATTTCTGTAGACGTCGAGCGCGTGTGCCAGAGACCGTTCAGTGTGGCTTAGACTTCAGCCGGACGGAGTCTGGGCTATATCTCGTTTTCGGTGAGCGACATAGTAAGTACACGAATTGCTGACTGAAGTCGACGGGATCGGCTGCACGTTCACCTCGACCGGGCACGTTACTGGTACCTGGTCGACTGGTGTTCGATAGTGGTTCATCGAAACTGGAGTACGATCTCACTCGGAGCTCCGAGTGCGCCGAGTGGTGAACGTTGTGTCGTAATATGTGGAAAAGTGTGACAACGATTTCGCAATGAGGCAAAGGGGAAAATTGATTTTCCAATCGGTTACGTGCAATAGCTTTTCATTTTGTAAATACTTGACTGGCATCGCGTGTATTAAAGAATACGCGATGAAGACGATAAAGCCTGTTCAATCTCGGACTCGCTTACATAATTTCTGTTGCAGTATTTTTAATTTGTTATTGTAATGAGATTATAACTCCGACTCAATTAGAATTGATCAATAAGATTCGATTAGAATACATTTTAGGACGCATTCGATATTTCGCGGGATCGACAAAGTCCACTCGGGTTCAAGTGAATTTGCAAATTCTAAGAACTAATATTTTATTATTTCATCCGAATAAAAAAACTATTACGAAAATTCTATATAAATTGAAAATGAATCCAAAAGCATTGGATTTTAAGAATTAAAGATAAAATTTCAATTATATATATTCTTCCTCAGATAGTAAAATAGCTGTCTTATCTCATTCTACAGTGGTACATAAATATTGACACATTTCGTAGTTTACTGATTCTATTCTTCTTCATGAATAGTGTAATTTTTAAGGCAGTATATTTGAAATTATAATAAGTTTTATGTGCGCAAAAACGGCAAATAATCGATATAGAAACTTAGCTGTAAAGAATTGAGGATAACAGCAAGTAATTCTTTCCACGATAGAAATCTCTGGAGTATTACGTTACTGAGAGTTATGTCACTCGTGTTTTGCGCAAGTGTTAACAATTCGAACAAAGTCGTAAGAGCTGGTGCACATTAGTGGATAACTGTAAATCTCTGCAGTGATAGCGACTCACTCAATGCAGGGCCAAAGATCATGTTCTTCGATATCAAACAAGTATCGAATGGCGTTCTTATTTACTCAAGAGCAAAGATATCGCGTAAAGACAGCGACTCAAATTTCAATATTTCCCTAGCGAGTTGTATCACACTTGAAGGATCCAAACACCGAAAAGAAAACAAATCGCTTTGTATATGGTGTAGTCAGAATAATAATTTGCATAACTTGTTTCCATCCATACATTATAGGTTTCGCATTCATGATAAATTCAAGAAGTCATTCACTGACATAATGATCGATAAAACTTTGCAAAAGAGAAGCAAGCAACGATAATAATTTCGGTTGTGAAACATATGTAAATAAATATATTAAATATATGCATGTATTAAAAATTTATGACAGGTACATAAGATTAACTTTCTATAAGAAAAGAAGGAAAATTGCAGTAGGTTTCTGTCGTGTTTGATGTTTTCTCACAAGTACGTACATGTATAAAATACGTTTACTGACGTACGAATATATTGACTCGCGCTGTCGCTAAATATGCCTGCCTAGCTTATGACGGTGTGATTTAAGTAAAATCGAGAATCAAATCACAACATTTAATATTCAATGTGGAATATAAATGCTGACTTTGAAAACTTTGTCAAAGATGACTTGACACTATCTCGTAAACCAATTTTTAATTTAAACTTTTCGTTACTAGGATAATTTCATGACATTTTAACTTAAAAAAAAACTAATTTAGTTAACTAATTATTAAGACTACAATCAAAAATGTTTGGGAGTCTCGTGTAAGGTTATAACATTTAGATATGGCACAGACTAGTCAAGATGTGGAATTAATCAGCATTTTCCATATTTTTTTAATGGTCGTAATGAATGAATTAGATAATCAAGGCAGACTATCAATTCATCTGACAAGATAGCCTTCACAGCAATATATTACCTACCGTTCATTCGTGTACGCACGACTGACGTATCGTGGAAACTGTAGACAACACGTGCGCCTCACGTTACGTGTATGTGAACCGATATTTTTCTA